TCTGGACTGGTGTACCACTGACAAGGAAAGGTGAAAAAAAAATCTTCAGTCAAGAAAACAAAGACGACGTTTTTATTAGTGTATCGATAAATCGGCTGACCGACTTCCAAAATGTTTGGAGATCGGCTGAAAAGATGGGCTTTAAAACTGCGTCTACAAAGTTCTGAAAATCAGCCACTGTCCTCTTTGCTCTGCTGTGAGCACTACCTAATGTCCAGTTTAAAAAAAAGTAATGTTTCATGGGTATTTTTCAGTCTTTTTCAATAAAATAAGACTGGAACATTGAAGGTGTGTTGTGACTTTATAACACCTGAGAGTGTCAGTTATTTTAAAATTCTGTATCAGCCAAAATCAAATCGCCAGGTCAGACTTTTTGAAGTTCAGTGATCGGCCAGAAAACTGCAATCTGTGCTCCCCTAATTTTCATGATTTTTAAAGGTTCCTAGCWTTAAAGCACCCTTATGTCTTGGTTATTTTTTTTATTTTCCATCACATTGGTACTCCCACTGTAGCTTTAGAAAAAAAAAAAACAATGAAAAAAATGCAACTTGAAAACAATATGCTATGACATTTGGTAGCATTACATTGTATACAGTGTTGATGAAATTTTGGCAAAGCCAGTAAAAACCAGCCACATTTGGAGTTCAATAATTCAGACAATAGAAACTTCATTTGAAGGGTGAACAGTTAATTGAAATTTGGACTTTAAACAACTAAACTGCTATTTTGATATCTTTAATGGTATTCACACAATCAGGGTTCAAGTTTTATAAATTTCATAGAAAATGTACAGTTCAGTGTGAAGCTATGCATTCTCATTTTTGAGTCTTACCAAAAATTTATGTTAGTTTATTCTCATTACCACTAATTTTACACCTCTTACGTTTAAACATGAAAATCTCTGTTTTCTTTTACCCAGTGTGTCTCCAACTGCTGGATGATTTGTTCTCGCTCGTTTTTTTAACAAATCCCCTCAGAGTGTAGACAGCACACAAACTCTCACAACTGAAAATTACAGCTTTTCTTTCATCTGTCAGATGAAATGAAACTTCAGATCAATCCTCAGCCCATTATGGACAGCTCACATTTTTACCAGAGKCCAAACAAACAAAATAAAGTCTGAATTTTAATTGAAATCCTCAAATATAGTTTAAACTGGCAGCCTCACAACAGAGCTGGAGACAGAAAACAAACTGTCATTATAAACACTGAAAGTCCACATATCAGTACTTTTCTGTATAATTATATCTCTCTATTGTATTTTCATGCGAAGCTCATCCAGAACAGAGTTGAACAATGAATTATTCTAAATAATGTTTTTTTGGCAATATATATTGTACATATTATGATTTAATCAAATATTATTTCCTTATTTAATTGATAGTGTGCATTTACCAACTTCAGGGAGAAACTGTGTGAAATTTTGTGTAAAAATACAAAAAATTGCTTAATTAAATTGGTATCCAAAACATCCAATGAATTACCTATTTGGAATACAAAATCTAATTTTAAATGTCGATTTTAAATGTCAAAATGAAAAACTGCAAACAGACATATCTGTGAAGCTGAAGGACAAAAATTTGAACGGAAATATTTTGCAGAATCATTACACTTCCAATAATTTAGCCTTGAAACAAAAGCAAAAAAATGATGAAAGCACAAAGAAATGGATGTTCAATAATGATTAAAAAATTCAGGAAGGCCACTTAACTATAAGACCTTGAAGCTTTAGAAGCTGCAAAAACTRAAGCCAACAGCATCTCTCAGCTCGTTTGTAAAGTTATTTACTGTAGATTGGTGCGTGACGATGCCACAGGAAGAGCTGAAGAGAATACAATGGGCCTCATGCAAGAACATGTTCGTATTCTTATCCTAAATTTCTCTTACTTTTGTTCGTACAAAGGGTTCGTATGAACATGTCACGTCAGATTCAACAAACTCTTCTATCTTCAGGAAAAGTGCGTAAATGAGCTGCGTAAATTTCACCTGTTCTATCC